GGGAGCGTAGTGCGAAGCTGGGGGGGCGGACAGGGGTGCAGCAGGGTGGGCGCCAAGCCATGGGCGGAGGGGATGCAGGGGCGTCTGCAGGGTGGGGAAGCCGCGGCCGCCGGAGGTGCAGCAGGGTGGGGGCCAGGAGGCCACCCGGTACCTGCTGTGGTGGTGGCTTTCCAGCTGTTGGTGACACTGAGGTTAGGCCCCTGGAACCGCCAGCTCCGCGGTCCCCTCCCTGGGCACGCAGCCTTGGGAGGCCGCGTCTCAGCCCTGGCGTCCCGTGCAGAACAGACCGCTTACCTGAGCACGCGTGCAGCTCTCGGCTTTTCCCCTGAGGTTATGTAGTCGGTGTTGTTTTCCTGGGCCACCTCTGGCCTAGTGGTGAAGTGGCTGGATCCCACATGGCTGACCATGGTTCGAGTCCCAGGCCCTGTAGAGTCCTGAAGTGCGCGCCCGGCTGTGCCTCTCGCCGGCAAGTGCACGGGCCTCGTGACCAGCTTAGAGAGGAGGCACGGCAGGCGCGTGTGCCCCGGAGTGGGAAGGAGGGCGGACGCAGCAGGACTACCCAGAGGGGGCTTTCTCTCTCTCTGGTGCCTCGCCATGCGGGTAGAGGTCAGAGGGTCTGGCCAGAGGGTCTGCCGGTGCGCCGTCTCCGCAGCCTTGCAGCCAGCCGTCCTGCTGTCCGAGTCTCAGAACCCACGACTGCCGTGTCACTGGGGGCACGTGGTGCCTGTCCAGCGAAGGACAGAAGCATGCTCGCTCGTTTCCAGTTCCCTCTTTCCCCCCAGTGAGCGAGGGAGGGAGACAGACAGGCACCCCAATGGGGCCCCGACCCGAGCTCCTCCCCAGCCTCTCCTAGCCCTGCGTCATGGCACTGTCCGCGTGGTCGGGAAGTCTCCACACGCAGAACCTCCCCTGCTCGCCCTGCCGCCATCTGGCCCCAAATGTTTACGCTAAACAGAGGCACCATGTCCTGCCGGCTGGGCAGCCGTGGGCTCCCCTGCCGCACCTGCAGCCAGGTGGTCACCGCTGCCAGCTAGTCCCGTGAGGGTGAGAGCTCGTCGCTGTCCTGAGCCTGCCAGGGCGGGAGCACGCGGCACATGCAGGCCACCCTCCAAGAGCTCCTCTTGTGACCTCGGGGCCTCCCTTCCCTTGGGTCTTGTCCTTCCAAGTGTGGTGCCAGCCTAAGAGCCTAGTGATGCCCTGCCCACACCCAGACAGGCACCTGGGCGTGACGCTGCTACAGGGCCCTTGGCCGCCTGGGAGCGCCTTCCCTCTGTGCTGTGTCACCCACTGCCAGGCCCCGGGAGCATGGCCCAGAGCTGCCCCTCAGCCACTGTGCTGCTGATGGTACCTCCTAACCCAGGGCACGTTCGGGCTGTCAGTGGTGGCTGGGTACATTTCATGGCAGGCCGCCAGGTGGGGCTTCTGCTGCACATGTGGGCGTGGTCGGCCCGTCTGGGCTTCCAGGTGCTTTTCAGAGCTGACAGGAGAACTCGGGGCAGCCGGTTAGATGGGATGGGCGGGAGAGCTCGCATTTGGTCCTCTGCCACAGCCTCCCAGGGAGCAGGGCTGCGACCCTTCCTAGCTGCTGGGGTGAGCCAGAGTGGAGCACCTGCTCCTGGCCACATCAGCCCCGTGCTGCTGGGCCTGAGCTCAGGGTTGTACAGGTGAGGCCGTCAGAGCGAAGAGGTGCCTCCCCCCTAGCCTGCTCTCCCTGAGGCCGACTTTCCCAGAACTCTGCAGCAGAGCCCGGCCGGTGGGCCCCTCGCCTCTGCAGAGTCCTCCACAGCTCTGGCAGCTGTGTGGTCTTGAACGCGGTGCTTGTGGGGACCTAGGCTGGCTGGACAGACGGGCCGAATAGTCCGATGTCTGGAGCTGGCTCAGCCTGGGCTGGGCATGCTGGGCGTGTCTTTGGCTTGTGCCCAGCAGGCGCCGTCCTCCCATGGGTGTGAAGTGAGAGTGCATGCCCGCTGCCCTGTGCAGCTGGCTCCCACGTGGAAGCCGCCTTTGTCACTGACCATGGGTGCACTATACCCGTCTATGGAGCTGCTCCTCGGTGGGGCCTGGATCCCTGAGGGGACACCCCTCTCATTCAAACACAGGCACCAGGAGTGCCACTGCCAAGCCCCGTGACCAGGAGAGGGGTACCAGGCTGCCCGGCCCAGCTGCTGGAAGCTTCTTGGAGGGCGGCCCGCTGGGACGGGACTCCGGAATGCCCTCCAGTAGGCAGCTGAAGGGCGTCAGGCAGAGTAGCCAGACATGCAGGCTTTGGGGTCAGGATCGTGCCCTGGACATCGGGAGTGGGACAGGAGGCAGCAGACTGTTTTGTGATTGACCAGGAGCCACAGGCAGGTCTCGAGCAGCGTTGTGACCAGTCTCCACTTTGCTATCGGGCGCATGCGCTCGCCAGATAGATGGGGAGAGACAGAGAGACAGAAAGTGAGAAATCACCCCCCTGGGGAGATGGCCACGCCGCAATCCCTTCTCCTCCATTCTCCTCTCGGGATCTTGGGCGCCCACGCACCCGGTGTGAGTTTTAAGCCACTGGGTCCAGGATGCGAACCGCGGTTGACTATGTAGAAGTCCAGCGACATAGCCATTACGCTAACTGCTGATCCCACCAGTCTCCACTTTAGAAGAGCAGGTGCTGCAGGTGGCCGGGTGGCCAGGGAGCAGCCAGGCATCCTTGGGGAGGGGGGCCTGTTGACCTCGCAGTCCACAGCACGCACCTGCAGACGACCCTCGCAGTGACAGGGCACTATGCGAGAGACCAGGGTACCGTGAGCCAGGTGGCACCGGCAGCCCTGCCGTGCCCTTGCCGAGGTCTGGTGCCTCCCGTAGCTGTCTCTGGGGTCTCTGGCACCAGGACTGCCAGGCCTGTGAGCCCACGGCACCTGGCAGAGCGCAAGGGTGCTGTGCCACCTGGAGACGGCGGGTGGGGGCACTTTCACTGATGTCTGGACCTGGGTCCCAGTGGCAGAGGACAGCCACGTGGGTGGGGGGTGGGACGACAGCTCCGAGGGACACGCAGTGGGGGCAGGGGCCGTGGTGTCTCTGTCCATCCCAGCTCCATGACCAGAGCACGTGCTGGGGCTGAGGAGCAGGGGTGCTCGCCCGGATCCACGGCAGCCGAGTGCAGCTGGGCAGGCCTCTGGCCGCGCAGGCTGGCACGTGGCTTCTCGCAAGGTGCCAGGTCCGTCACGGGGCCCACCATGATGACTGAATCCAGTCCCGATTGCCCACAAAGTTCTCACCTCTTTCCTTTTTTTGAACTTTATTTATTTACTCATTTACTTAAAAAGAATTATTTATTATTATTGTTGTTATTATTTTAATTTCCGATAGGGCACGTGTGCTCATGAGAGAGAGTGAGAAAGCAAGCTACCAGGTCTGGGACTCAAACTGCGGTCGGTCATGTGGGAGTCCAGTGCTTTGACCACCACGCCTCCTGCTGGCCTCTTCACTTAATGTATCTTTTAATTTGCTATGGGGGATGTGCACTTGTTGGGGGCCAGGGAAAAGAAAAGGAGAAACAGCTGGGAGGGGTGGCCATGCCATAGTTCCTTCTCCGTCCTCAGGGTGTGAGACATGCATGCACACGTTCCTGGCGCATTTCTCAAGCGGCTGGGTCTGGGATTCAAACTACGCAGTTGGCCATGTGAGACCCCGTGCCTTAACTACCGTGCCACCAGCTGGCACAGCCTCAACTCTTTTTTTTTTTTTTTTTTTGTT